AAAACTCACAAAATATAGATTTGAGATGAGAATTTGTGCTCATAAAAAGTGTTTTCTTTATTGTGCAGTGTCTACAAACCATATTAATACAGGTATGTTAAACTTGTTAGTTGGTTGTGCTGTTTTTATCACAAATTTAATTAACGTTGGACTTGGACCACTTCCCTGAGCAGTAATACACATAATGCCTGGCCATGTGACTCTAATTAGATTTCATGAAATAAAGGGTCTCAAATTATTTTAAGTGCTTATAATTTTTAGTAATATGAAGGCCCATGCACAAATATCAAAAGGGAAACTCAACTAGGAGTGTATGTGTGCTGGTAACTGTTTACTACGGCAATAGAGAATTTCAATGTACACATTCAGCCTGGGAAACTTTGTATTGTTTATTAAATAAAGCAGAGAAAGCAAGAGAGGAATCAGCACAGTGGAAATAAGGTCACCAGATAAGGCTTTTTTTGCTACCCTGTTTCCTGTTCTGGGTGGCTGTGCAATCCACTCTGAGAATTTCATTCCTTTTACCCAGATTGAAAATTTCCCATTTCCTGTCACTCTCTACCACCTCCCCCTTTCTTGAGTTGCCAAACCAAAGCAGTTCAAACAGATAAAGACACAGTTAATTTGTTGAAGAGCACGGAGCTTTCAGTAAACAACTTCTTCCTGGATATTGCTGTGTAGAGGTGACTGGACCCTTATCAGCAGATTAAGAATTGACCAATTTATCGTACCATGTCTGCCGGCTCTTCCTTGCCTTCTTCACAACGGCAGAGCTACAAAAAAGGGAATGACTACAGTAGCCGCAAAAACGGTTTTTGAGGGGTGGCGGGATTTTTTGAATCAGTCTACATTTTTGGAATAAAGCAGAGCACAGACGGCAGCTGTGTAGGGTTTTGCATGTAGGAAAGGCTTCAGTAAGTATCAGTGATGGTTCTGGCACAAAGGGCTGAATTCCGAAAGCCCTGTTCTCTTACAAATTATCAAAGTGGTAAAGATGTTGCCATGTTTTAAGTGGTTGGTCTAAAACCAGCAGCAGACCTTGTCAAACTTAATTATAGGGGTAGAAACAGTTATGAAAGGAACAGGATAGGAATATGTCTTAGAGAATCAAAAAAAAGTTTGTGTTATTTTTTCCAGATAAATTAAGGTCAGAAACCCAGGTTGGTCTGATCCCACTACATCACTAGCTGGTAACTAATTAAAACACCTTCATGAGACTTTTTTTTCCGAGGTATGGTTGACACACATTAGTTTCAGGTGTACAACATAGTGCTCTGGCAAGTCTCTACGTCGTGCCATGCTCACCACAGGTGTGGCTGCCATCTGTCACCATACACCGCTACTAAGTACCAGTGACCGTATTCCGTATGCTGCACCCTTTATCCCCGTGATTCATCCCGTAACTGGAAGCCTGTACCTCCCACGCCCCTTCGTCCATTATGCCCATCCCTCCACCCCCCTCCCCTCTGGCAACCATCAGTTCTCTGTATTTATGGGTCTGTTTCTGCTTGCTTGTTTATTCATTGCCTTTGGTTTTTAGAGTCCACATGTAAGTGAAATCATATGGTATTTGTCATTCTCAGTCTGATTTACTTCACTAAGCATAATACCCTCTAGGTCTATCCATGCTGTTGGAAATGGCAAGATGTCATCCTTTTTTATGGCTCAGTGATACTCCAGTGTGTGTGTGTGTGTGTGTGTGTGTGTGTACACACACATCTTCTTTATCCATTCATCTCTCGATGGACACTTTGGTTGCTTCCGTATCTTGGCTGTTGTAAATAATGCTGCAGTAAACATAAGGGTGCATGTATCTTTTAGAATTCGTGTTTTTGTTTTTGTTTTTTAAGATTTTATTTATTTATTTGACAGAGAGAGAGATGAGAGAAGGAACACAAGCAGGAGGAGTGGGAGAGGGAGAAGCAGGCTTCCCGCCGAGCAGGGAGCCCGATGTGGGGGCTCGATCCCAGGACCCTGGGATCATGACCTGAGCCGAACACAGATGCTTAACAGCTGAGCCACCCAGGCACCCCGTGTTTTTGTTTTCTTTGGGTAAATACCCAATAGTGGATTTACTGGATCATACGGGATTTCTTATTAAATTTTTGAGGACCTTCCAGTTTGCTTTCCCACCAACAGTGCATGAGAGGATTCGTTTTTCTCCAAATCCTCACCACCACTTGTTTTTTGTCTTTTTTCTTTTTTAAGATTTTATTTATTTGACAGAGAGAGAGCGCGTGCACAAGTAGGCAGAGCAGTAGGCAGAGGGAGAGGGAGAAGCAAGGAACCCGATGCGGGGCTCAATCCCAGGACCCCAGGATTATGACCTGAGCCGAAGGCAGACGCTTAACCAACTGAGCCACCCAGGCGTCCCTGTTTGTCTTCTTGAGCCTAACCGTTCTGACAGGTGTGAGATATCTCATTGTGGTTTTGATTTGCAAAGACTTTTAACATAAAAAAGGAACAAAAACTATGGTACACAGACTGCAAAAAGTATAATCTGCCACACTGTTGTTTTTTGACTTGTGTAAGAGAGCAGAGGGTCAGGTCAAGAACTGCAAGCGGCTTTTCTTCTACAAAGTTTGTGTCTCTAGGGGATGGATATGTTAACTAGATGGTAGAAATCCTTTCAGAATATATACATATATCAAATCACCACGATGTACACTTTATTTCTTTTTAAGATTTATTTGAGAGAGAGTGTGAGCAAGCATGAGCAGGAGGGGCAGAGGGAGGAGTGAGAATCTCAAGCAGACTCTGCGCTGTGTGGAGCCCAACACAGGGCTGGATCTCAGGACCCTAAGATCACGACCTGAGCCGAAACCAAGAGTGGGATGTTTAACCAATTGTGCCACCCAGGCATCCTATACTTTAAATATCTTGCAATTTTGACAGTTATACCTAGGTAAAGCTGAAAAAGAAAATACGTTCATGTATCTAGGTCCCTGCCCTTTGAAGTTCAAGGTTGTGTAAAAAATAATTTGTGCCAAGTTAAAATTACTGATTAACTGCATCATCAGCAGGTCTCTAACTTGCTGATTTAAGAGAAATAGAGTTGGAAGAGAGCTTGGTTGGTCTCCTGGCCCCGGTGACTTCATGTTCACATGAAACTGAGTTACAAAGCAGAAACCTGAAACTGTCTCTGGAGGCTCCGGCCATGTTGTCTCCGTAGACAGACCACTACCAATGGGGTTCCTCAAGATTCGTGAAGGGTTTGTTTTTAACACTATTGGGTAGGGAGAAGGAAATCTGGGTTCTACTTCTAGCTCTACCTTGGCACTAATTATAGCTTTGTTACTTTGAACAGGTCACTTGACCTCTCTGAGTCTAGAAAATGAGGATGGATTGTGTGAATCTTTAGAAGAGATCATGTACATGAACACTCAGCATGCCTCTTAATGCATAGCTGGTGTGCAAAAACCATGTCTGTTTGCTCCATATTAAACTATGCGGAGGTTGTAAAAATTCTAAGTTGTAATAATTCCTTGATTTCTAAAATAGCCATATGCAATGAACAAATGTGTTAACTGATCCTAGGTAGAAACCATGAGGCTCAGACCTGGTCCTCAAGGGAGTAATAAATTATTAGAGGCAATAATCATAATAAGGATGATTGCTCTTTACGTTCCAAAAAGGACCAAATTCAGTAGCTGTTTACAGGAGTAAGAAAATTTGGGGCTGTGAGGAAAATTGGAAGTATTCATGGAAGAACCTTTGAGCTCTTTTAAAATTTCTAGAACGCCACAAAGATGGGATTTGGGACAGGTAGAGGAGACTGGAAGAAAGTCTGCGGAATGACACGGTGGCAGGCGAGTGCAAACTCTGTCTGGAGAATGTGGGCCGCCCAGTTTGGGAGATAAGGAGGAGAATGCAGGCTGGGACCCTGACCATGGAAGACCTCTTAGCTCCTGCCTGGGGATTTGGCTGTTATGCTGTAGTCAACCAGGGTCATCAGAACTGACATACAGCCAGGGCTGTGCTGGGGCTGAATTAATGTCGAAATCGCTAAGATGGAAAGTGGGGCAAAACTCCCAAGAAATCAGCAGAGTGGCTATGAGACTCTACGGGACTCAGGTATGCCTTCGTCTAAATATATTTCAGGGCTGGGGTCCTGGGTGGTTCAGTTGGTTAAGCGTCTGCCTTCAGCTCAGGTCATGATCTCAGAGTCCTGGGATGGAGCCCCGAGTCAAGCTCCCTGTTCAGCAGGGAGTCTGCTTCGCCCTCTCCTTCTCCCTCTGCCCTTCCCCCACTCATACGCACTCTCGCTCGCTCTCAAATAAATAATATATATATATGTTAGGGCTTTCACCAAATGACTATACAAGTTGGTGACCTGTATTTAAGGTGAGGAAAGGGAATATATTATTTAATTTTTTTTTTTTTTTTAGTGGAAGGAGCCCTTATATTTTAGAGTGAGGTTTAGGTTTGTTAGGACCTGACCTTAGAGTACAAAGAAAAGCCATAGAGAATGTGATCCGAGCTTTGCTTCTAGAGGCTTTGGCATCGTGGCAGGCACAGGACAAGGACCTGAATTCAGGTGTTAGTGATAACAATGACAAAGTTTGCCTGAGGGAAAAATGAACAAGACTTGGCCTGATTAAATGCCAGAGCTAAAGGAGAAAGTCCAGGACTGCTGTTTTGTGGTGGAATGAGGATGTAATAGCACTAACAACGGAATAAATTCATACATGTGAGTTGTGGTTTTTTAGACCAGGAGTCAGTTTGCAGTTCAAACCAATTTGGCCCAAGTCAACAATGTCTGTTCAACTGTCGTATTTCTGTTTATATTTCGAATATTTAAATATTATGCAGTTCATTTTTAAGTAGCAGAAAAAGTGAGGGGGTGGAAGACTCTATCCTAGAGATTAAGTATCACTACCTGGTGATACTCTGGAATACCAGCAAGCTGTCCTCATAACGCAAGGTATAGGCAAAAGTTCATTTCATCAGATAATTAGTATGTAAACAGTAAAGACAAGAAGTACAAAAAGAAACATAAATAAAAGATTTTGCTTTTATTTAAAATAAAATGCATTTATACAGTCTTTAAACCATGGATTATTGGACAATACTGGTAATCCACCCCTCCCGGCATCCTTTTGGGTTGTGTGAGCTAGGAATTTTCTGACTAGCACCAATGCGGACTGTAACAGCGCAGCGGACGAGAACATGGCCAGTCCAGGCATTAGAGTTAAGGACACTGTGGCAAATCATGACTATAATGAAGTCATTCTTAATTTAGCAGGTATGAAAACTGCACATTAATTGTATTTTTAAAAGCATTTAATTAATGCAAAGATGCTACATCTAAGGCATTTGCTAGCTGTGAGTAGTTTTTTAAAAAAACTGTACAATTTTATAAAATTTGTGTTTGTACATTAGTTACACAAAATGCATACTTCATAGACCTTTACTTCATATTGTAATGCAAAAGTTGCATATTTTAGGCAGACAGTGAATATGCTGGTGAATACTAAAAGTGTTGTAATACAATAGGGTGTAAAAATAAAAACACAAGACAATATACATACATGCTTCTTCAAGGACAAAAACAAACCAAGCCTAACAGACTGATAGCATTTTCCTTCAAGGTCAAACAATGACATTATTAAATATCAGGCATCTTTCGCAGGCCTGATTTATTTGGGGGTGGGAGTGGGGGATGGAGAATCAATGGCTACCAGAAGTAGGTATTTTTAAAACACAAGATCAAATTAAACATACATTAAAACACATGCATTAAACATGATAAATAGACTTCATATAGTTTAAGCCCTGGATAGCTTTAAAGTAGATGGCTTAAGTTTCTTGGTTTGGCTAGCTTAAATTAAATCAGTGATTTTTTGCTCCTGACTTGCCCACTACTTTAGTTTTCAATTCATGGCCCTAAGGAATGTGTGCCATATTCAAGTCCATATATTGTATCATGATAGCAGATTAATAGTCGTGCTTGTTAGTGCACTTATTAACTGGTCTGGTAAGGCAAAAAAGTTTTCATGATAAAATGATAAATTTCAAGCTTACTTTATTAAGCAGCATATAACAACCAACAGCTTTCAAAGTTAAATATTGTTATGGCCATGGAGTTTCATTACACAGTATCTCTATTCACACCCAACCACTGGTAAGTTTGTAGAACATCTCTTCATCTAAACTCTCATTTTGGTCTTTTGCACGTGTTGAGAGAAATATGTAGCCACCGATGAATTCATGAACCACTTTGCAATCTACTTCAGTACAAATGAAGGACAATCGTACTTCATCTGCAAACTCTACCGTGACCTGGAACAAAGACCCAAGAACTGTCAGTCAGTCCCAGGAGAACTCCGTATGGTAGTGTTCTATTTAAAGTCTGCCCTCTCACAGAGTACTTGTTGATCCTCAATTTTTTTTTTAAATCCTAAACTTAATAATGCCTTCAATTCCAAAAGAATTAAGTTTATTAGCCCCTCCACCACTCCTTTTTAGTTTTCATGTTCTGAAAAGACTGAATGCAAGGGGTTTAGGTCATTATGTTCCCAATGGTCTCTGGTGATTCAATTAATGAGGTCTCTCTTCAAGGCCTGGGAGAAAACCTACTTCCTGCATTTAATTTAATATTTGCTCTAGATATTTAACCTTTAGGTATCATGTTTGAATACAGTAGCCCTCCCTTATCCATGGGGACTATATTTCTAGACCCCCAGTGGATGCCTGAAACTGTGGATAGTACTGAACCCTATATATACTATGCTTTTTTCCCTTTACATACATATCTATGATAAAGTTTATCAATTAGATACTATAAGAGATTAACAATAATAAAACAGAATTATAACAATATACTATAATCAAAGTTATGTGAATATGGTCTCTCTCAACATATCTTATTGTACTGTACTCACCCTTGTGATAATGGGAAATGATAAAATGCCCACGTGATGGGATGAAGGTGAAGCACACAGCAGACACTGTGACGTAGTGTTAGGCTACTATGGACCTTCTAACAATACGTCAGGAGGATGGGTCATCTGCTTCTGGACCGTGGTTACCACAGATAAGGAGAGATACTACTGTATTTCAGAAATATGAGATTCTATGCAGTAAGAGAAACTGATACAACAAACCTAATGATCCCAAAACCCATGGCTTATCAGTAGAAGACTGCTTATTTTAAATGCTATTCCTTGTACTCCAAGGCTAGGGGCAGCATGATATGTAGGAGTAGCTGTGCCAGGTTTGACGCCCTGAGCGTCTGAGTTTGAATTCTGACCCTGTGACCAAGTGTGTGGTTATGGCAATCATGGCTGTCAGGCCTCTAAGTCTGAGTGTCCTCCTTTGTAAAGGAGGGCCAATCCAACCACCCCAGCAGGCTGTGGTGAGCTGAGAAATAGGGTATGAATGTAACAACATCTAGCATCAGCACTGGTGCAAGGGAGGCCCTCAATAAACAGTAGCTGCTACCATGACTGACAGGGGTGTACCATTTCCAGAAAACCAGCTTCTAAGCAGATCCTTATGTTCTTAGAATTCTAATAACTGGGCTAGTTATGAAGTGGACAAGTTTAATTGGGAAATGAATAACCAACCAGGTTTTATACTTTAAGAGGTGATGATACAAATAATCTACAGAATTTATCAGCCTTTTTATTCTTAACTGACTAATTCTTAGCAGAAGGGCTCTACATGCACTCAAGTTAACACTGAGCTTACCATTTTTATTTCCCAGTTTACGTTCCACTGTTTCATGTTACTGAAACGCCATGTTTTAATTGCGTCTCCTGTGCTGGCATCCATCCTAATCAGTCTGTTGTATGCAATCCCAATAAGTTCTTCTTTTTTTCCTCCCTGGAACCTACAGTATTAAAAACATACAAAATGTTTAAAAACATGTTGGTGGGAGTGGGAGGACATGCTGCTCTGGTTTTCTTTTAAGATGTGCACTTTAAAAAAAAAAAATGGTATCTTCACATAAGTAAAAATAGAAATCATTTTGAATTTTTAATGTAAAAATTACAAGTATAGAAAATAGGTTTCAAATTGCTCAATAGATCTCAGTAGGTACTTTAAATGTTTAACTGAAGTAGATTAAGTAAAAAGGAACAGATTAAGATTTATACACAAGTGTTTAGGAGAACCACTGACCTTGCAATAAAGTGTGTGATGCCAAATTCTGGTAACGACTGCCAAGCTTGAATAAACCTCATCTTGGCTTCAATTAGACTCATCTGAGCTACATTCTGATGGGCCTCCAAGATTCTTGCTGTTATCTAAACATGATTAAACACCACCTTTACCATCAGACAATATTCTTTCATGGGAGGATCAAGACAAAAAGTAAAAAAAAACCCTACAATCACGTATTGTTAAGAGTTGGAATTGGGAAATTTCTACAGCTACATTTGGGAATTTCAGTAAAATGATGACTCTTCAAAATAAACCTTGATATATTTCTTCATTAATGTCCGTTTCCATATATCCAGAAACAAGAAGTACAGTTAGGAGTACGTAACTGCCACGCTGGAGAGACATTCCAAGTATACACACGCATGTCACTGCTTTCATAAAAGGGCCTGTTCTAATCCTCTACATGATATGAGTTTTAAACTGAGCACCAAGACACAATTATCAGAGTGAGTACCTGGAACATAAATTTCTAGCAGGAATATTAGCACCTTTAAATTAGTACTTGAAACCACCATAATAATTTAAAATTTTTCCTATAGGAATCATTAGAAAAGTTAACTTTTAATTTAAATTATACTCCCTCTGGGATGATTACTCCCACAGAGTGGAAGGAAATTAATCCGTAAGAGGGGATTGTGGCTAGGGCTTTCAATATTTTATGATTTTTCTTTTTTTTTGGTAAATATGGAGAACTTACCAAATCTCTTATATAGCCTGGCTGTAGATGGCAATGCGAAGAAAGAAAAAGGAAGCAGAAAGACAAAAAAAGGCAATCAGAAAAATGGCAATGAAGCAAAGAAAAAGTTGCGGTAACCTGCAAACCAAAATTCCAGCCAAAAACCATGCAAAAAAAATTACTTTAGGTGGAAACCAAGCAAAGTAAATGCAAGCATGAAAATGAAAACAAGGAAGCAGCGATTACTTTCCATTTAGGATACTGAGAAATACTTCCAACATTATTTTAAGATTGTTAAGTGTTACTAAAATTATGGGTAGAGAATTTGTAGGGAAAAATAAAGAGCAAATACCCTTTTCCCTGCTCATTTACCAGGTTCTTACTGGTTAGGGTAGGACTAATGATTTTAGTAGCAAAATCAAAATTAATATTCAAAAACCTTTAATGTTTTGAGATTGAGTCCAATAATATGACCCATGCACCGCTTTTCAGAAATAAGCTGAAGGTATAAAGTAAGTGCAGTGACCATACTGTTTCTTTATTTACAAGAGAAAAGCAAACCCCTCAATTACCATCTGTTTTTTGCATCCTTTTTCCTGGAAGGGAAAATGAAGAGATGCTATACACTACACTAGGAATGGAGGTTGTACACATATTAGTCTATTTCAATTTGTATTCACATGGGTAAAACAGGGAACAACTCTTCTTTAAAATGTAAAAATCCGGTTTGGGAGTCATAGTCATGTTAAGATATATATAGCAAGTTTAAATAATATGTAGTTTTGGGGATTTAAAGTAGATTAAATATAACAGAATCTCTATTGATGGGCCCTGGTAGGAATGAAAGAGCCCATGGCCCGCATCTCTTCCTACTGGACTCCTGAATGCCACTGTATTAGATAGCTTAACGATTACTAAGCACTACATCCAATGACTAGTACAGCACCTGACACACAATAGCAACTATACTTCTGCCTGTCAGCACTTCCTAGGTCTCTACTTTCTGGGAACAACTTATAAATCTAGTCAGGGAAGGGAGAATTAGGAAAGATTATGCATTTGGTAAGAGGCCAACATGGAAGACAAGGCTGGAAGGATCCTTAACCATGGACCACACACATACTGCCATCCTGCCAGTTAAAGACAGTCAAATATTCACTGTTTTTGTCCGCAAGAGAATTTTCACTTGACAATCTAGCTGAGAAATCAGGGATAGAAAACTATCTTTTTTAAAAAGTGAAAATTATCACTTGAAAGGCTTCTGAGAAAACAACTCAGTACCTCTGACAACTAAACCAACATTTGGCAATATTCACAGTTACATTTTAAGATCTCTTTTTCCTGATACCTGACAGTGAAATGGTAAGCTTGCTAAGGTCTGAAATTCTTCCTTGCCTTCCGAAGGCAAATGAATCCACTTTCAGAAACAAGTTTTTTTTTTTAACAAGTAATTTTTAGGGATGCCTGGGTGGCTCAGATGGTTAAGCGTCTGCCTTCGGCTCAGGTCACGATCCCAGGATCCTGGGATCGAGTCCCGCATCGGGCTCCCTGCTCGGCGGGAAGCCTGCTTCTCCCTCTGCCACTGCCTCTCTCTATCTCTCTCTCTGACTCTCATAAATAAATAAATAAATAAATAAAAAGAAAGAAAGAACAAGTAATTTTTAAATGAAATAATTAAGAATAAAAAAAAAATGAAATTAGTACTTGATTCACTTTCCCTTTTTAACTTACAATCTACATTCCACAAAGCTCCCCAGGGCAGCATTTCCTCCATTCCTTACTACTCCCACATCATAGGACTGTGGGATAAACAATTTCCATGTAGCTTACACAACCTCTGAAACTTAAAGACAAATACTTGGTGACTAAAACTTCTGAATATTTATTTTTAGCTAAGTGATATCAGACCCATATGATAAACATTATATTTAAAGTTAAGAATTAATAAGCGTTCTGGGTATTTCATTGGGCCCTTTCAGTAATGTTTTAAAATTATTCTTTAACAGAGATAAAAATGAAACTACATAGAAATGAAATATTTATTTGAAAGGTCTTCTTCACCCCCCACCTCAGACTGAAGCCTTTGCCTTTTACGGCATGATGTTTGGTGTAGCGAATACTGGGGGCTATCCCAAGTGAAATTCCCCTGCAAAGAACCTTTTATGTTGTACCAAAGAACCATTTTCCTAAATAGCAATCCTTTTATGGTATTAATTTCCAGGAAAGGAATTCTAAACAGAGTGAACAAAAGCAGTGAAATTTCAATGAAAATTTACCAAACTCTGTCACATCATGTACATCTTGGTTTAGGTTCTTTACTGTTAAGAAAAAACAATGTTGAACTATAGACTATTTCCACCCTTACAAAGTTTATTTCCGAAGCTGAAAAAGTCAATTTCGACAGCAAGAAGAGTTGTTATAGATTTTGTTGGGAAATGCTGGCTGTGCTTTATACCCACACTTCATTATATAAGGAGTAAAACCCAAAGCATCCACACTGAAAGAACACCCCATTCACAGGGTGGTTTCCTTAGGTTGTTGCGAGTAAATATGCTTCCAACATCTTACCTCCTTATCTGTCCTATGAAAATGAGAAACATTTTTTTAAATGACCAATTTATATCTGCAGCCTATTTTATACTCTGGCCACCGGATATGAAATTAAGATTAAAAGTTTTGTATAAGAGGGGAAACTAAATTTAAAGTATGTACATAAAATCATAAAACCAGAAGAAAAGAGGTGAAGTAAAATGAATCAAATACCTGCTTGTTCTTGTACTTTTTTAGATAGCGAGGGGACACCAAACATTCAGGATTTATATCAGTTGTGATCTGCTCTGGTATTAACTGAGGATCTGGGTTTAAATGTTGCATCTTCAGAAAGGAAAGAATATTTTGAACTTCTAAGTTATACGAACTGTCTGCCATGGTCTTGCCTTTGGAGGCTAATCTGCAGGCTGCCATCCAGTGTGCATACTGCTTTTCCTGTTGAAAAGAAACACTAAAATATGAAATGTATCACATGACGGGTCCCTTTGAGTATAAAACGTAAGGATGACTGGTCTACTCATACTAAGGAATCAAAGAAAAATTGAGGGTTTTATTTTTAATCGGAAAACTTACATTGTCACAACGAAGCCAGATTTCATTCATGCCTTCTGCAACTGGAATCAGGAGTTTAATGTTAAATTTTTGCCCTGAAATGTTTACATCTGGGGTAACTTCACATCCTATAATAAAGAAAGTATTAAAATGGTCAAATTTACTTTTAAGAAATCCCAAGCCAATACAGGCAGCCCTCATTTTATGGTATCTTAACATGCTGAATTTTGCTATTTCCGGAAGAAGTTTTTCTGCCCAATAACTTTGAGGTGGAGCAGAGAGTCACATCTAATAGTTTGTGGCCTTCATAAAACTTGACTGAAAAGGGAAGGAAAGGGTACTATTAAAAAGGATATTACCCCAAAACACCATCCCACATTGTGGGGTTTTTTTTTTAAGATTTGTTTGAAAGAGAGAGAGAGAGCCCGACACAACCTGAGATCATGACCCAAGCTGAAACCAAGAGTTGGATGCTCAACCAACTGAGCCGCCCAGGTGCCCAAATACTGTTTTAATATCATTCAGTTCCTTGAACCTTAAATTATTTGGGGTTTTTACGTTTCTAAATGTATAGGGGTATTAAAGCATCTTTCTGTAATTCAATTCTAACTTAAAAAAAGTCATCTTATCAAAACACATTAAGTAATCTCTCTACCCAACATGGGGCTGGAACTCATGACCCCATGCGCTACCAGCCAGGTGCCCCAAGAATAAATAACTTTTATGATGCCTTTAAAAAAAGAAAAGGTACTGTGTGTGTGGGATTCCTAGTTTGAGCTGGGGTCCTATATGGGAGTCTCCTCAGGGCCCTCCTATGCCTCCATGGAAGGAAGAAGCCTAATGGCACAGGGGGAGGGGAGAGGAGAAGAGGGGAGGGAAAACACAGGCTTTCCTGATCCAACTGGATGCTCCTACGCACATGCCTCTTTCCCAAATTCCACAGTGCTGGAGCACTTAAATATTCACACTTACAAATACTTCGATTCAGAGGGTGAGCATCTGCACAAAAATGGTTTCTTTAAAACTGTAATTCCTTCATAGATAGGACTCAATACATAAGTTAACTTTATGCGCAGTTATTTTAGGAGCACATCTACTACAGAAGGTAATGTACACTTACATACTGGGGAAGTCAGCATGAAAATAACTGATATTCAGAACTTTACTGTCAAGTTTTCAGCAACACATAGATTTATGGGCTTACAAAATCCATGTAATCAACTCGGTTAAGCATTAGCTAGTAGCTTTAGATGGACTGAACATATACTCAGTTAGATGGTGGGATAATGGCTGTCATAAACAAGTAGTAACTGGTGTAATACAGTGGAGTGGAGCTCTGCCATCTGATTTAGGTTCCACACCTTTCTCTGTCACTTCATAATTATTGCCAATTTATTTAACATCTCTCCCCAAATTTCCCAACCTTAAACTCTACCTCACTGGAATGCTATAAGGACAAAAAGATAATGTACATGTCAAGCTCTTTAAAGGGCATTCCAGTTGTCACCCTCAATATGTCTCAGGACCATCAAGTAGGCTTGTAAACTGTTAGGGCCTGTGGTCTCCTTGCTCTTTGTACTTGAGCAAATTTCTCTGCACAGAGAGTATAAGAAACAAGATAATAAACCTCTATATATCCACCACATAAAAAGGACAAATTTTAAAACTGAAGTATCATATTAAAAGAAACAGAACATTTTAGATAAATGGGAGGTCTTCTCTCCAGAAGCAACTCCTATCATGAATTTGGTGGACTTTCTCCCCCTTGCTTTCTTTTAAAAATATTAGCTACAGCATTTAACTCTTTCTGTGCAAGTATTACAAACTATCGGTAAGTTGTGTGGCAATGCATTTAATCTGCAAAGTTAAAGAGATGTTTGGGGGCGCCTGGGTGGCTCAGTCGTTAAGCGTCTGCCTTTGGCTCAGATCATGATCCCAGGGTCCTGGGATTGAGCCCCATATCGGGCTCCCTGCTTGGCAGGAAGCCTGCTTCTCCCTCTCCCACTCCCCCTACTTGTGTTCCCTCTCTCGCTGTGTCTCTCTGTCAAATAAATAAAATCTTAAAAAAACACACACAAAAAAACACAAAGAGATGTTTGAAGATACGCGATCTTCTACGGACTTCATTAATCATTCAAGTGGATTTAAACTATACAATCCCATAATAATTAGGCCTCTTTTAAAAATAAAATATTGGGGTACCTGGCTGACTCAACTGGAGGAATGTGTGACTCTTGATCTCAGGGTCTTGAGTTTGAGCTCCGTGTTGGGTGCGAAGATTGTTTTAAATAAATAAACTTTTTAAAAAAGTAAAGTAAAATGCCAAAAAAACTAAAAAGCCCAGAGAGGTGCTGGTGTAGGTGCAGAGGCACTTAACGAGGCCACATCTCAGGCCACATTCACTCCGTGCCACCTTGGCTGCCTACTTCAATGGCAACATGCCACACTTCACTATAACCCAATTATGCTTCCTCTGAAATGTTCAATGCAAACAGCCCATTCTAATCACAATCTTCAATCCTCTCTTCAAACTATCTGAGGGACCCTCTGCTGCAACCCCTCAACTTTCTCCCCATCAGCAACATGTTTTCACCTCTTCCTTTTCCTGAGTTCAGCCTGCACACCATTCACCAGGTATCAAGCTCCAATTCCCTAGACTCACTGTCTTTCCATTATACACATTTACCAAAACCTTAACCTTAACCAGGGCTCAATCCAACCTATCGTTTACTTGCCTACATTAGGCTGCTGAACACTCAAAGGAGGGGAGGGGGAAAAAAAAAATCACAAAACCAAGCAGATAGGTTTCACTAGAAATTCATGGGACTCCCAACTTCAACCTGGCCCTCAACACTTGTAGTATTTCTGTGTTTTCAGACATTCTCAACAATGTTTATTTCAAATCTTCTCAGGCCTCTGATGCCACTCACTCTCAGTGGACAACTTCATCTCTTTTTTCCAAGAAAGCCATCAGAAGTGAGTCACAGAGCTTCCTGCCACCATGGCTGATAAAGCTAGCTGCCCTCAACTTCCACCCAGTGGAAGAGGCATCTCTCTTCTTAAGGCTCTCCTATCCAAGCAGGCTGAGTTTCCTGCCATCCCAGGAGCCTCAATCCATTAAAGAGATCTTCTTCCTCTCCCGAATACTAAATTTCTTTCTTCCTTTCTATTTCTAGTGTGGTGTTTCCATCAGCATTTAACTTCCTTGAGTTTCTCCCATCTTAAACCACAAAGTGCCTTTCTCCTCCACCTTATACCTCTCTGCTATTATTGCCCTCTTTCCTCCTTCCTTGTCACAGATAAGGTTCATCAAAAAGCTGTTTCCGATTTACTTCTCAGCGAGTACTTTGGCTCCCATACTCAAAAGGCCACTGAAATCTGCTGAATCTGTTCTTCATCAAGGCCACTAACCACCTCCAATGAGGTGAAATGCTATGGAGGCTTAACAATCTTTATCTTACTTTTCTGTAGCATTTGATGCTATTGACTACTGTCCTTTTGGAAACAACTTTTACCTTAGCCCCCACCATACCTCATTTTCATGGTCTTCATAAGCATTTGTTGTTTCCCTTGCAAGCTCCTCTTCCTCTAATCTGCCCTGTACCTCAAACATGGGTGTTCTGCAGGGTTCTCTTCTTAGCCTTTTCCTATTGCAAACAACTGTTCTAAGGCTGCATTTACCTTTAATCCTAAAACTGCTACCATCAGTATCTGCAGTGCGGATCTCCCGTGATCCAATGGCCTACAGGGTATCTTCAAGAGATATCCCCCAGGTACCTTGACTTTAAAATGACCCAAAATTAAACTCATCATCTTGCTCCCCAAACTCGGCTCTTGTACATTCTCAACCCTACTCAACCAACTGCACAAGCCAGAAATAAGTCCCTCCCATTGGCCTCTCCCAAGTCAATCACCCAGGCGGCTGACTGGGCTTCCTCAGGGTCGTCTGAATTGGCACGGTCTTCCCCATCCATATTGATCACCTTAATCTGGATCACAGTCACTGCTCTAAATTACTCCTCTATACTGTAGCCAATATAAATAGGATGGATCCTGTCATTTTCATGTTAATAATCTTTCAGTGGCACGTCACTGCTGCTAGTTTAAAAAAAGTCTCAACATTTTTTTTGTTTGTTTGTTTTTTTGTTTTAAGATTTTATTTATTTATTCATGAGAGACAGAGAGAGAGAGAGAGAGGCAGAGGGAGAAGCAGGCTCCCAAGGAGCAGGGAGCCCGATGCGGGACTCGATCCCAGGACCCTGGGATCATGACCTGAGCCGAAGGCAGACGCTTAACCGTCTGAGCCACCCAGGCGCCCAAGTCTCAACATTTTTATCCTCTTAATTCCTGCCAATTTCTTCTGCTATTATCACTCATCTTAGTAGGAATCAGACTCAACAGCCACTACGGAAGTATTCATCCTCCCCTTTGAACCCTACATTCCAGCAGCACAAACTCCCTGTGGTTGCTGATGCTTCTCTCCACACCAGTCTCTGTTCTCCACACCAGCCTCTGCCTGGACAGCTTTTACCAACAAACCTTCCTTCCATGGACCTCGAATTAGACCTTGGATCTAACTCTGGCATTATCTCCCCCACAAAGTCTACCCTAATTCTCTCCATTGTCACTGAACACTGATGTAGCAAGCACCGTTACCCCTTTGCTCTTCCTTAGACCTGTTACTTTTTTTTTTTATAAAGATTTTATTTATTTATTTGACAGAGACAGAGACAGCGAGAGCAGGAACACAAGCAGGGGGAGTGGGAGAGGGAGAAGCAGGCTTCCTGCTGAGCCGGGAGCCCGATGTGGGACTCGATCCCAGGACCCTGGGATCATGACCTGAGCCGAAGGCAGTCGCTTAACCAACTGAGCCACCCAGGCGCCCTGTTACTTACTTTTTAAAGTACTATTGTCTAGCAGAGGCCGGCTAGCTCAGTTGGTTAGAGCGTGGTGCTGATAAAGTACTATTGTCCAAATTGTAACTCTTTATCTCCCCAACATGCTCTAAACCCCTCAAGGGGTGGGACTGTCATCTGTTCTTTCTCATGTCTCTAGTATCTAGCACAGTTTACGGCACAGGAATTCACTATTTGCTTAACTGAATTTTTTACACCTTGCATTTTAGATGTCCAAAGGCCTTGGGAGAGCATCTAGTCTAAAACTCTCATTTCTTAGAGGATGTTATTGAGGTCCAAAGAGGCTATTTTTCTAAAATCACAGGGCTTGTTTAATAGCAGAGCAGAATCTATGCCATTTGATTTTTAGACTGGTGGTATCTTCGTTAGTGTGATGTGCCGGAAAAATGCTCTTTTGGGAGGAGCTGGAAGAGGCGGCACATCATAAGCCATTCTCCATACCAGGACTTGACTTCTCAGTCACAAAGGGAGAATGTTAAGGATGAGGACGCCTGGGTGGTTCAGTCGGTTGGGCATCTGCCTTCGGCTCGGGTCATGATCCCAGGGTCCTGGGATCGAGCCCTGCATCGGGCTCCCTGCTCAGCGGGGAGTCTGATTCTCCCTCTCTCTCTGCCTGCCACTCTGCCTACTTGTGTTCTGTCAAATAAATAAAATCTTAAAAAAAAAAAAAAAAAAAAAAAAAGGAAGGTTAAGGATGGAATAGGGGGGACAGAGAAGACAGATCTAGTCTATAGATCAAGAGTGGATATTCTGGGCTGGTCCTGGGCAACTTAGAAGAGAAGCAAGAACAAAACTGCAATGGATTCTAAGAGTAACAAATAATGAGAGACCCAAAAGTTAAACCCATGGTTCTTACAAGAGAAAGGCAGTGAGCCTAATTAACTTTTAGGAAAATTACAGAATTCTAACACATGGGCACATTAATCTTCTACCCAGGACAGGGATTTCCTATTTTTTAAAACAACAATTCAGAGGACTACTGGGCAGAACACAGATTTGGACATTTTGTTGAAATATAGTAAAAATATCCTAATGTACTATGTAGAAAGCAAAATTAAGACTATAGATCAAGGAAAGCACCTCTGTATTTTAAGCAGTAAATGAAATTGTTTTGGGAATCATTTTTGTCAATGAGTCAGGGACTCCGTTCTTGGGTACTTTTGTTCAAATATGGATATTTTTAGTTAGAAAGACATATTGCTTTACATGTAATCATAAATGTACATGCAAAATGTTACCCAAAGGAGAAATGGGCTGGGCCAATAGGAATTAACCCCCTGACCACCACCCTCACAACTGGCCTGCCAAAGGCAAGTGCTACCACCAAGAGGCTGGGAAACCAGGAGGCTGCCCTTGCAGCTCCACAGCCCAGAAGCACCTTGCTCCTTTCTCAATTCTGTCTCTTCAGCCCCTTAACTTAATCGGGAATTTAAGTCTCAACATGAATGCATCTGATTGGAATCAAAATCTCACTGGAAATAAGTCCAGAAAATGTATCTTAGTTTTCTGGCCTTTGCTGTAAAGAGTATGGAACGGTAAGATGCCAATCTACTGCATCCTGCATCAAGCACACTGGTGCCAAGGGTGTGGTGAGTGCAGTTCTCACTGCAAGTGAGCCAGGTGCTTTTAGTAAATATGCCCACAAGTGAAGGGCTCATCAACAATCTGCAAGACCCTGTAAAAAAATCGCGGCAGGAAGCAGCAAGATGTCCTCTAGCTGCCGAAGAACCAGCCCAACCTGGACAGGAAATTCTCCTTCTACCTGAACCATCCATCAGATAAAGGAGGTGAAGGAGCAGTATGAAGAACGAAAGAAGTCACCCAAATGGCAAATGAAATGGCGGGGGGGGAGCCAAAGCCAGTAGTAGCTCTGAGCCCCCAGCCAGGATCAGCTGAGGCCACAGGAAGCACATTTGCCTCAAATACCAGCCCCTAGGGACAGCTCTGGATTTGAAGAGGAAGCCAATGAGATTCAGGTTGTCAGCTAGGAGGAGCCTCAGAGGGGTACCCTGGGGCTACCCCAGAGACCAGACCGAGAGCTGAGTGTGGAACAAAAATGTGCAGGAAGAGTTACTGGGGAAGAGGAAGAACTTGGTCAAACCCCACAAGTGCCTGCGACCCCACTGCTGAGCCAAAAAAGAGGCTGGGGAACCTCAGAGGCATCAGCTTGTCATCAGTGAAAGTCAGAAAGATGAGCAGGATGCTGATAAAGAAGGGAGAAGCCAGCAAAAACAGAGGAGAGAACTACAACACGGATGAGAATGAAGAAAACCTGAATATCCCAATGCTGAAGATGAGAAAAGAGGTACCACAAATTCACTTGACAAGAAGAAAAGTGGTATCACTTCAAATGTGGACTGCACAAAGAGATTACAACAAAATATCCATGTGAAATTGAATATTCAAAACTGATAAAAACAACATAGCAAAAAGAAGAAGAATCTAGACCTAAAATAGTACCCAAAGGAGTAATGAATCTGCTGAAAAACTACCCCCCCCAGCAAAGTGAAATTTATTGACTATTAGCCAAGAGAAATTTCATTATCAACACCTGTCATTCCAAGGCTTCCCTTACCTCTTAGGTTCATCTGATGAGCTGGTGTGCCGCTGGATTCTTCTTTGCTCTTATAGCAAGAAATAGATGTATCTTTAAAGGTGCACCAATATTGCTTGTATCCTTTTAGAGTCAGCTTTTTTGGTCTACGTGTCAAATAGAATTAACAGAAAAACAACTTTTTAAATAACTTTATCAATAGTATTAGTGGCAAAGTTTCACATCATTAAAGTCTAAGGCCAAGTTGTACATATATTGAACTGAGTTCTTGGGCCAGTGTGTTCTATTCAATGTTGCTGTTACTGGATTTGCCTCTTCTTCATCAGTCTACTCAGGAATATCTCACAAAGAATGAATGGGCAGAGGAGAAAGATAGGAAGGCCAGGATTTGAGTACTTGTCAGTGGCAGCCATCTCTATCACTAGCAGGTCACATGGAAAGGACAAGAAAAGAAAGGTGAAGTAAATGTCACCAATGGGAAGGCTCCTAGGTCCTATAATCACCAGCAGGTTCTTGGGTGTGTGCAGGGCTGCCTTTGGGGCCCCTCTGGACAGGCAGGTGCACCTAGCATAACTAAAGTGAGGGAAGTGCTTATCTCTTTTAGGGGTGTATCTGAATGGTGCTTCAACTTGCCACCCCAATGCCAAACACAAAGAAAACAGAGCAGTCATGATGGAGAGTGGATAAGGAAAGGTGTGTAATGGGAGGAGAAAGGGGGTAGGGAGCTGCATCTGAAATCATGCCCCTACCTCAGAAACGATCCATATGGGGAGCTGTTCTAGGTTTAGCTACAGTAAATGGTTTATTCCATAATAGCTTTACATCTTATACTCCACATCACCTCCTCTCCTCTTTACCCTCTTGGCTTTAATGCCTAGCTCTCAACTGTATTATGCCTAGATTGATAAAAGTCTAGATAAGATACACTGGAATCTTATTATATAATGTTCCATGAACAAATGAATAAAATGCAATAGAATCTAGGGCTCTGAACAAGGAAATAACCACTGGCAATAATAGTTCATTATGTCCTGCTTTCACCCAGAGGGGATGCTTTATACTGAAATGCCACTGAATGTCTCAGAATCTGTGCAATGCAATCTAGGCTACACAGTCTTTGTTTTTCCCCTTTAAGAAAAGTTTTATCAGAAAAAAACAAGTTCCTGAGTATTGCAGTTTTAATTTGGTAAAGATGGTTATTTTCTCTCATAATTTAGTGTTTCTCTAACTGGTAAATGCTTTTACAGATGCATTTGCTAAACTTACAATAAAAAAATTTCAATAATATGAATGAGACTATGAAATTGGTATTTATCATTCATTAATATTTGGAATCCCTCCCCCCCCCCTTTTTTAAGATTTTTATTTATTTATTTGACAGAGAGAGACAGCGAGAGAGGGAACACTAGCAGGAGGAGTGGGAGAGGGAGAAGCAGGCTTCCTGCTGAGCAGGGAGCCTGATGCAGGGCTCGATCCCAGGACCCTGGGATCATGACCCGAGCCGAAGGCAGACGCTTAACCGACTGAGCCACCCAGGCGCCCCATGGAATCCCTCCCCTTTTTGTACTTACTTAAAAACTTTAATATAGTCAGCAAGTTCAGGAATAGAAGTGATGTCACCCTAGGGAAAGAATTAAATCATTTTCTCCTGATTTTTCTTGAAACTTGAAACTCTAATGTTTAGTATCTGATATCAATTATCAGCTTATTTTATAAGCAAAATTACATAAAATACAGATTATGAAGGTTTTAAATGTATAATCATATTATATGGTCATAAATTACAAAGTCATTTTCAAATGGCATAAAAAGCTAATAAAAGATGCGATTAAAATAGCAATTCATATAACCTTTAAGAACATATTACTGATTCTAATTCACCTAAAACTGTTCGTATCTGGGCATATGGAAATTCTGCAAAATCGTAACAGCCCTGAGGTAAGTGTTTCTTCTGTAATAACTAGTTCCTAAGCTTTAAAACCAAACTTAGTATTTAAAATTTTTCCCAAGATCTCTTCTCTTCTTTTTGTAATATTTCAAATGTGCAGCTCACTAAATGGATTTTGCCGTGACTTGAGACTACCTTTCACTCTGCAGAACTGTTTTCCCACTGCTCGTGAGAGAATGGGTCCGTATCACAAGATCTATCTTTACTGTATTTGAAGCACTGGAGACTAGAACAATACTAATTTCTGAAAAGTCAACACCTGTATTCTCGAAAGCATGAAATATTTCTCCACAGCCACCCAATACTTATGAGAACCTAAATCCACAAAAAGATAAGCATCAATTCCAACTAAACTAGTAGGAATTAGATTCACCCTACCAAAATTGTTGATGTTTTCCCCCCTTCCAAAGTGATCTCCAGGTCTGAAAGGGCAGCATCAACTTCGTCCACTTCTTTGTCACTGTTGTTCAAATGATTCTCTGATGTCATGATTGACAACTTATTGATGTGATACTGAAAATAGAAATGATAGTTTATTTAACTGTTCTAACTTTAAAACTTTAAAATGAGATTACTACCTGCATCTATACTGAATGCTTTTCATCACCTAACTTGAAAAGATGAAACCGTCCAAGAACTAGAATGATCAGAAAATAAACGGCACCTGAAAGCAGTGTCCCAGATATCCTAATAAATATTTATCCAAAAAAAGCAGGTCTTTGGACATATAAAAATGAATTTAGTTTGGGAAGCCCTAGAATTCAGAGTTAACATGTCCTCCACTAAGCTCCACATGAGCAGATCTTTTTTTACTGGTTTTCTCCCTCCACCCTGCCCCCCCCCCACTGCAGTATTCCCTGTGTCTAGAACAGATCCTGAAACCGATGAATACTGAATGAATTAACAGAATATGCATAAGGTCTTTTGTAAAAATGGATTAACATTAATTACCTTATATTACTGCTATTACCCAGCAGAGGAAAATTTATCAGTTGTAAGTATTAGGCTGAAAGCTGAAGCTCCACTCTCCACCACCACCCCCGCCCCACCTCAATTCAATGCTGAAAACATAATCAGAGGAAGATGTTTATATTCTCAGTTACATAAGAATAAGATTGATTACATTTATACGTGAATATATACACTCATATATGTATTTGTGTGTGTATATACACGATGAGTAGTACTCCTATATGTAGATAGAAAAATCTTTGCATATAGAATAACTAGTTATGATTTTAAACATACTTAGGTAAGTCACTTAGAACAAATACTAATAATCTATTAGGATTCTGATGTTAAACCTTACCGAGGTTTCATACAAAGGTAAGCAGAACTTTTAAAATCACTTAATCAGTTACCTTTCAAAGAATTAAAGAGCACTCCAAATTTCTGAAGTATCCATTCACTGAATACAGTCTATTCCTGGGGAACATTGAATGAACTAATCTGAGGCCAATTGTCAGTGTTCCTCTATATTTTAAGATTTAGTGAATTGGTAATGAACAGTCTCTCGCTGTACCTTCAGTTGTGCTAAAATGAGATCCTTAGTGATAGAAACTTCCATGTTCACCAATCATGGAGAATGAGGTAGGTTGAGGGCCCTTAGACGGCCGCCTTAAATGTAAGAGTAACATTAAGCATCATCAAGAGAGTTGGTTAAAAATACAGATTCTTAGGTTCATCCCCAGAGATTTTGATTCAGCAAATCTGGTGTCCAGCCCAGAATCTGCATTTTTATTAAGTGAGTCAGGTGAGGGGCACCTGGGTGGCTCAGTTGGTTAAGTGAGTCAGGTGATTGTGATGCAAAAAGTCCTTAGAAGTTACCTCGGAAAAACCCTGGCTATGAATGGGACTGGTCTTAAAATCCAGCTTTGCTTTCAGAGGGTGCATGGGATATCTATTAAATGTTACAATACAGACTTGGATGTAATTGCCTTATTTTTTATTTTTTTAAAGATTTTATTTATTTATTTGACAGAGAGGTAGAGAGCACAAGTAGGCAGAGAAGCAGGCAGATGGAGAGGGAGAAGCAGGCTCCCTGCAGAGCAGGGAGCCCGATGCGGGACTCGATCCCAGGACCCTGGGATCATGACCCAAGCCGAAGGCAGCCGCCTAACTGACTGAGCCACCCAGGTGCCCAAGGATGTAATTGCTTTAAAAACAGTGTTATTACCTTTTTATTTTTTATCTACGCCTTCTTACTTTTAATTGTTTGTTTCTTTTTACTACTATAGATTTATGTTACAAAAGAAAACAGAAGCCCCAAGGAGAAAATAATTCAGTGTAGGCTATGCCGGAGATAAAAACACCAGGCATTTCCTTGCCATCTTTTCAAACTTTCCCCCTTATGGTACTGGATGGGTTCTAGAGCCTTTGGGTCAGTCTCTGGGAAGGCTTCTAAAAACTCAGGAGATTTTTAGTTCAGAATTCTCTCATTAAAACTAGATTCTAAAATGGTTCAGGAGAGCTATGTTTTGGGACATTCAGTTTCCAGAGATTAAAATTCATGGTTTCTGATGCATTTTCTACTGCACTAAAATGGAATATCTACAATACACGGGGTGGGGGAAAGCTACAAAATAATCCCATTTCTGTGAAAATACAACTGTGTGTACATTTGACCCTTGGACAACATGGGGGCTAGGGGCGCTAACTCTCCCAGAACTTTACTCATAGCCTGGCTCTTGACTAGAAACCTTACTAATAACATAAACAGTCAATTAACAGATATTTTGTATATGTGTTATATACTCATTCTTACAATAAAGCTAGAGAAAAGAAAATGTTAGGCAAATCATAAGGAAAATACATTTACTGTACTATATTTATTGGAGAAAGCCTGCATTATTATAAGTGGACCCAACCCCTTGTTGTTCAAGGGTCAACTATATTCTCACTCAACAAATTTTTTTTTTTTTAAAAAACGTTTTTTTTGTTGTTTAAGATTTTATTTATTTATTAGAGAGCGAGCGAGAGAGAAACAGCATGAGAGGGAGGAAGGTCAGAGGGAGAAGCAGACTCCCTGCCGAGCAGGGAGCCCGATGCGGGACTCGATCCCAGGACCCTGGGATCATAACCTGAGCCGAAGGCAGTCGCTTAACCAACTGAGCCACCCAGGCGCCCTCAACAAATTTTTCTGAGCACCTATGTGCCAGGCACGTTTATATCTGTTGGGCTTTTTTTTAAGTGCATTATTTTTATAATAAAAAGATTTAAAAAATACTATATAATAAAAATCTGTGTTTTCCCCCATATATATTTTATATGTATTATTATTCTGTCATTGGCAAAACCTTCACTATAAAATTATAAGCCCATATTCTAAGAAAGAAAGATATAGGTAGAAAGCCATAAACCAAGTGAGGTACTCTGAATAAGATTACTCCAGAATTTAATTCAAGAAATTCTTCAGATAGGGGGCGCCTGGGTGGCTCAGTCGTTAAGCGTCTGCCTTCGGCTCAGGTCATGATCCCAGGGTCCTGGGATCGAGCCCCGCATCGGGCTCCCTGCTCCTCGGGAAGCCTGCTTCTCCCTCTCCCACTCCCCCTGCTTGTGTTCCCGCTCTCGCTGTGTCTCTCTCTGTCAAATGAATAAATAAAATCTTTAAAAAAACAAACAAACAAACAAAAAACAACAAAAAGAAATTCTTCAGATAGTCTGAATTATCCAGGAACACAATAGAAGACTCTTAACTAGTTGATTAAGCAAGTCTCTAACTCCTCTGTCATCAAAGATTTTCCTTGTCTAAGCTCTGTTTCGATCCCTTTCTTTCGTCATGTAAACTGAGAAGAAATGTGCTTTTCTTCCATTACAAAGGACAATTTTTTGAGTTTTAACCAGAAAACTTTCCTGGATGTATAAAAGCATTTAGAAGATTGAGAGCATTTTTATTTGTGTTCTAAAGAGAAGAAAAGTAAAATCATTTTTACAGTGAAAGCTTTTCTTTTTCCTTTTTTCTTCTTTAAAAGATTGTATTTATTTGAGAGACAGAGCACAAGAGGGGCAGAGGGAGAGGGAGAAGCAGCTCCCTGTCTCCCCACTGAGCAGGGAGCCCAATGAGGCCCGATCCCAGGACCCGGAGATCATGATCTGAGCCAAAGGCAGCTGCTTAACCGACTGAGCCACAACAGTGATTCATAACTAAATGTCAACTCTGCTTCCTGTACTTAAAGAATACCAATTTTGTTAGGACTTTAGGCAAAACCAGAATTCTACCATAATCTGAGAACATTCACTAAAGCCTCACTCAATTATCTGAAATGGAAGAATGACTACTCCAGTGGTCAGCTACATGCATCTCAGTATCTCTAAGAATGCAGATTTGTGGATGCCACCCTATGTTATTTTGCTAGAGGGGACAGCAGTAATGAAGTGGACAATTTTTTAATAAGCACTACTGTAATTCTGAAAAAGCTCATATGCAAGAACCACTTTTGGGATAACACTGGTTTAATCTCGGGAAAACATTAGCTACCTACTTCTTAAGGATTACCATCCCCAGCTACTTAGGAAATTATGCAAATAAGCTTCATTTTAGAAATCTGATTTGCAATACAGATCTTATTTCTAAGGGAAAACTGGGCAGTTTTTAGCTAATATATATTTGGGGGTGGGAGGATATTTTTCTCCTATAGGATACAGAAAAATATTAAGTATATCACTAAACTCTTAGATAAGAAGACAAAAAATTAAATTCATGTACTTATTTTGTCTTCTAAGTGTATTCAATTTCTACATAGCAAAAAGTAAACACTATCAAAATGCTACTGGAATTATAGTTTTCTAATTTACTATTTAAAAATAATCCCCTATGCTTTTCCCATGAAAAGTCCCATTTACCAATACAATACTCTTTACTACCTGCAAGGCTGCAAACATCATCATTTCTTCTTCTGTGCACTCAATTTCTTCTAGGAGAATAGCCCATTTGGCCTGCTCATAAAGCTGATTGATTCTGATTGCATCATACTGCAGCAAAAGAGACACAATCCTTTTGTAATACATTACCTTTAACATAAAAAAGTTTGAAAACTGAATATTCACTTTCAAAGCTTGACAAAAAAGTTTTGATATACATTTTTTTCCCTGGGGTTTTTATTCAGTATCAAATACTCAATAATAAAGATACCTATAGGGTTAGGTATATGTATATATACCCACATCTAATTTTCCATTAAAAATGACATTTAAAAAAAACACCAAAATATTATTATTCAGTATTAGAAGTAAGATTCTGTATGTTATTTTACAGGGACAGAGCTCTTAACAAAATGAACTTAACTTGAAAGACTACATTTACAGTAAGATAAAAGTGACTGCTTTTTAGTATTGTTATTGCAACGTGTCACACTAAAATGTTACAATCAGAGAGTAAATTATTTCAGGGAACATCTTGCCCACTATGGAAAAGCATACTTAGACAAAGTGTCAGGTCCCTGGAAACAGTAATTATTTTAAGAATCTGAAATACAGAGTACATATATATACTTGTGGTAAAGATTTACTTATACGTTACTGAATTATCCATTTAGTTATGTTAATAAAAATTAATAGTAATGTCTTAACAATACTATTTAGAATGTTAACAAAACATATAGCAACTCCCCTTCCCCAGCATATGTAACTATGTTCCCAAAACAGCTTTGGTTTTACTAAAATGAGACATGATATGGCCCGAAAGGGGTTAAGATTTTTTTTTTTTTGTAGTTCTAAATTATACATTTTTTACTGTTACAAAAAGAATTACTTCAGCACATAATAAAAAATGAGAAGTATTACATTAAAATCTACACTATAATCTAGACATGAAAAGGATGAGAAGTAGTCAAGAGAGGTTTTCCCCCCAAGGATGATAAATAAGGAAGCAAAAGATCCAAATCTCTGTGCCATGTGTTTTCTAGGGAAAAATACTCTAGATTTCATAGCAAATTTAACTCTTCTCAGAAAAGCAAAGTATTTCAGTAGCACAGATGATGCAGTCATTGAATAGTGAAACATTACAATATTTGCCTATTAAATAGGAAGAAATGTAGACTTAAAGAATTCTTCTTTGAAGCAACGTCGTTTGACTTATAATTAGAAATCTGAAAGTCATTGAAAAGGTACTATTTCATAAAACTCTTCTTTTACCAAAAATACAGCTCTAAAGAGAGGTGTAAAAAAATCCCTAAAACTAACTTTACCAATCCTATAGTACCAAGCTAGTGCATTTAAAATACAAATCATTCAAAAATTCAATTATTTTAACAAAAAAGAAAAAGGCTGAATTATGCTTCCAACCTGCTAACACAATAGACTTACTTCAAATACAGATCTTTTTGTCTAAAGCTTGGGTTTTTAATATTATTCAGACTTGCTATATACAAATGATTCCTCATCCCACCAACTCCAAAAAACAAACATCCAAATGAAAAAAACAAAAAGGAAAAAAAAGAACAGATCCCTCTAAACCCTCGGTACCTTTGGATTCAAATCAAAAAAGCTGTAATACTTGAATCGAAGAAGCAAGGCCTCATTTTCCTTCACATCTTGTTCCATGAGAGATCTTGAGGAATCAAGCCACCTGGACAAATTAACAAGAGCAGTGGAACAAGTCAAGACAAAATTAGTAAAATGTTTCTACCTCTAGTTGGAGAAAGAAATTCTATCTATATTTTATTTTTTTAAAGATTTATTTATTTGAGAGAGAGCATGTACACAAGCAGGGGGAGGGGCAGAGGACGAGGGAGAGAGAATTTCAAGCAGAATCTGCACTGAGCACGGAGCCCAATGTGGGACTCGATTCCATTACCCAAGAGATCCTGACCCAAGCCAAAATCACAAGTCGGATGCTTAACCAACTGAACCACATCCAGGTACCCCTCAACGTATCTCTATTTTAAAACTTACCCTTGGTTGGTTTTTGCTTTGTCAAGAAGAGCCTGAGGCTTGAACATTTTCGCCAAAACTTCTGGTGACGTGATTGGCTGACTGACAGCAAGTATACCAGGGTTGCCTTCTGACAAAGCACTGTCACCGAACCAAGCAGAAGTCGGTGACAAGGGGCTTCCATCATGAGCATCGTAAGTGGGGGTCATTGTTTTACTATAAAGTCCTGGGCTTGAATATATACTTCCTAATAAATAACATGAAAAACAGGTAGTAAATATGAATTAAGTACAGAACCTTAGTTTTCAATAATACATGCTATGTAAAGGAAACTGTGAAACAAAAGTTTCATTCTGGAAGGAAAGCTTAGTACATTATTTTACCTGTCTTGAAAACATGTAACATTAACTCTACTTGTGTAACATTAGAACATATAATAACAAGGTCAAAAAATATAAGTTGGCAGAAATATGGGGGGGAAAATCAGTTCAAGGGAATTAGAAGATAAGTTAAGGATATAGCTGAAGCAGACAGACCAAGTTTTTGTTTTTAATTGTGGCAAGGCTCACCTTTCAGAGGGCCAATGTAAAGAACATCAGTGCCTATAGGAAAGGAAAGAAAGGAATTCAGAAGGTAAAGGAAAGGTAACAATAGAAGACAGAAACAGAAGAATGAAAAGGAAAGGAAATGGAAAAAAGAAAAAAGACTTTTCCTAATGTGAATCATAAACTGAAGTAAATATTTCAAGTGAATTAAGAGTAAAGAATCTTAGAAACTGTAACCTAAGTTTTTTTTGTCTAATTCAAAAGAATAAAGTTGTGCTCCAGTCAAATGTCCAGTGACAAACATATCCACATTTATCACCCTTTGAAATCCATACCCTATTTTAAGACAGCTCAATGTAACTGAATAAATGCACATAAATTAAGAGAATAATTTTATATTAATGTTTTCTCAGTGAATAGGTAAACTGGTTCCAACAGATTCACAAATAAAGTATTGAAGCAAACAGGTAGATAACATTTTGCTAACAAAGATGTATCTTATAATTAAGTCCCTAAAGGCAGGGATATTTTATTTTCCAATTCCCCAGTGTTCAATAGGGCTAAACATATAGTAGAGGCTACCTAAATAAAAACTTCTTGACTTAGTCAACTGACAATATATCCTCCATCATTTAAACTATAAAAATCAAGGAGACTGGATTAAATTAAGACTTAAAAGTTCAGAATAATGTTAAGTAAAAGCACCTCCCCTAGAAGTCCTAACTCTGTTAATTATATTTTGTCTTCAGTCATAATTTTTAAAAAGAAAATGTGTAAATGGGTATCACATGTTAATGGATTATGGAAAGAGAATGGCTGTTTCCCTTACCTAATATAGAAATACGCTTAGCAATTTCCTTTCCACTCTAACAACCCCTCCCCACCACCTCACTCAATGCAATGATAGAAACAATTACCTATGAAAAAGTGGTGATCATGCTAGAGATTTTTGTAGTTGTCATGATCTAGTCTAGGAAGAGAACACAAAAGGAAAAAAAGAATCTTGCTAGCCACAGAGTATCTGATTTGATGTCCCTAGTATGTATTCTTCCAATGTTAATAACTAAAGCAATTTGCAGTATCTAAACACTAAACATTGTTAAATAAGCAACAAAGGAAGTGGTCAGTTCTCCTTTCTTAGCTTTAAAGAACCTTGGGATAGTCCAGTGATACCCTTAAAAGCTAGAACTTTCAAACTACAAGGGTATTTTGTGAAAGGATTACTTGGGCACCCCATACTAATTAAAAGGGCTAAAAACATTACTCCAGATCAGGTGGGCAAAGAATAATCCTGCTATATATGTAAATAAGGGACAGAAAAACATTATCTTCTAGGCAAAATCTTCTCATTGTGTATTTCAAAGATCTAGCAAATAAATCTTTTACTAGGAATGTCAGAATATTGAAAATTTGTTCCTAGTGTGATGGACTATAATTACTATTTAGAATTAAATAGTTAGAATTGGCAATTTTCTTTATGAGGTTTCTAAAACAAAATATATTCCCCTAAATTACACAATATTTAATAGAATCAGCCCTCTCAAATTCCTCTACTTTGTATATTCTACACTTCATTTTTGATCACTTCATTGTTTCTATTCTTATTTTGTTAGGCACTCCATGGTAATAACTTAATTAGTGTTTCCAACAATCCTATTATTCTCATTTTAGAGGAGCAAACTGAAGCACAGAGAGGTTAAGTAAGTTGTCCAGTGTCAAAAGCTATTACGTTTCAGAGCCAAGCTATAAATCAGCAAGTCTAATTGAAGCTATACACATCACCTCCTGGGTACCATAACTTATTTAAGCCATTCCCAACTGGTGTGCATTTATTTGTTTAGAATTTTGTTGACTTCACCACCGCTGCTGCAAATATGCCTTCCAACAAATGCCTTCCAACAGGTATGTTTGTACTTATTTCCCAATTCTAGCAACATTGCTGGGACAGAGGGTATGTGCATTTTACATTCCTTCTAAGTCTCAGTTCAGTGACAATCCCAACTACCTTATATTCCTGATTGCCCAATTTAAAACATATTTGAAGTAGAAAGTTATTATAGGGTAAGATGAAGTAACATATTTAGTCAACAACAAAATAGAAGCTTGCTCAACTATACAGAACAGTAACAAAAATTATAAGGAGGAGAGGATTCAACAAGCATTACAGTCTTGGGCCACCTACTACAAATATTAAAAACCTTATGTAACTTTAGAATCTGCCTCATAACTTGGTTACTATAAATTACATCCTTACATATTCTTTTTTAAAAGAGTGCTAAAGTATTTAATCCATTTTAGAAAATTTCCCACCAAAATATCAATCTCATACCATACTTAGTAAACAAATTTCAGGTGAATTAAAAATAACAAATGTTAATATTACAGATTAGTTAAAATATATAAATATGAAATAATTATATAAAAGTATAAAGGAAACATAGAAGAATTTTTCTAGTATTTGTGAAGATTTTCTTTACCAAGAATGAAAGCCCAGAACTGTAAAGTAAATAACAAGTTTGACTACATAAAAATGTAAAACTTTAGTACAGTAAAAAAGACCAAAAAATTAAAAACAAAATGCCAGTACAGGGAAAATATCTAACTTATCAGAATATTAGGTTATCACTAAAACACTGGAACTTTTTATTTTTTTAAAGATTTTATTTATTTATCTGACCGAGACAGTGAGAGCAGGAACACAAGCAGGGGGAGTGGGAGAGGGAGAAGCAGGCTTCGTGCCGTGGGGCTCCATCCCAGGACGCTGGGATCATGACCTGAGCCGAAGGCAGAGGCTTAACAACTGAGCCACCCAGGCGCCCCACACTGGCACTTTTTAAAAGCTTAATTCACAAACTCAATTCCCCAACCTATAAATATACCGTTTGGAATGGTTTTGTCTTCCAAATTCCTGGAACACTACTTTCTACAACTTTCATTTAGCGTTTATATATTACCTCCTTAAATACAGTAACTGTTTTTCAGTTAGCCTAAAAGCTTTTATTTTTTTTTAAAGATTTTATTTATTTTTTGACAGAGAGAGACAGCGAGAGAGGGAGCACAAGCAGGGGGAGTGGGAGAGGGAGAAGCAGACTTCCTGTGGAGCAGGGAGCCTGATGTGGAGCTTGATCCCAGGACCCTGAGATCATGACCTGAGCCAAAGAGCCTAAAAACTTCTTAAGAGTTAAAGATTTTCTTATTTTTTGGTATCTCCCAAGTCCAATCAGTACATGAGTAAGGGCATAAAAGTTACAAGACGTTCCTAACCTTACTGTGCCATTTCTTCAACCTTAAAATGAGTAATAACATAATGTGCAATGGGCTGTAGTGAGAATTAAGTGAGTTTCCACAAGTAAAATACGCTAAATTTAATTTCCATGAGTATAATGTGTAAAATGGGCATACAGTAAGCACTAAATTGTTTCCATTATCATCATCACCCCAGAATTTAAAAAACCAAGAATGAACTGAGTTAGTTAAATTAGTTTACTTACTGACTGAGGGACTTATTTCCTAAGAAATGGATTTATAAATGTATGGCTGATAGACACATGGGAAACTGTAATGTCCAGTCCCTGTGTATGCCCAGGACTAAATAAATAACCATGTAATTTAATTAGTCATCTAGCTACCCAAAAGACACTGCCTATGCTCCCCTATGCTCCTGCTGAATGCCACATGCTAAGTTAGGTTCTGACAACAAAAATGTGAGAGACAGTTCCATCATGCCGGGACCTCACAATTTAATAGGTAAGAACATGCAGTACAATACCAAACACAGAAAAGTCTGGTGTCTTAAAATAGAAGGATACCTAATTCAGGTTGGGAGATAATGGAAGGAAATCTGAGAAAGCTTCTTAAAAGGGCAAAACCTTACAGGAAAAAGGTGAAAAGGCAAAGGGACCAGCATATGCAAAGCACAAAGATTTTAAGTAACCCACAGAAGTAATAATGTCTTAATTAATTAATTGTAGTTTTCACAGAATACAGAAAAAAGGAACTAAATACTAAAAAACTGTCCAATTTTTTACAATGCAAAAAACTGAGCCCAGTTAAGGTATTGCCCCTTTTTTATTCTTCCGGAGCAGAGAACCAGCCTTCCTTTTTACTGATGCATCTATTAACACCTGACACGATGATCTGCACATGACAGACCCTAGAGGTGATTTCATGATTGAGGGGAAAAAAAGCTGAAGGAGAGTTTTTTAAAGTTGATCACTCTCCTGACCTATGTAAACCATTTGTCAAAAAATCACAAACATATAGACACAGCCACGGTTTTCACACTATGCCTCTGCTTAGTCTAACAAAGTCTCACCTGATCCAGGAGTGATAAGAGGCCCCTCTAATTCAAGTGCCTCATCTTCAGACTGGTCATCTAACTTTTTCTTTTTTTTCTTAGTTGGATCTCTGGGTTTTTTCAAGAGAGAAAGTTCTTCAGGGTGTCTGATATCTGTTAAAAATAGAAGAAAGATTATTTAGTAGCATAATGGAAAATTTAAATACTTTACATCTGGTAAATCCATCTATTAATCCATTCCAATATAAGAATTCATAATTTCCATCTGTGTATGTATGTGTTTATGTTTTGCCAGATGAGAATGCCATGCAAGACTTAAGTATGGCACTTCTACAAATAATCTACCAAAGCATTCAATTCATAACCATTTAATGAATGTAGGAGCCTCGAAGTGGAGAGATAACAATCTATTAGGGTACAGAGAGAAAATATTAGAACTTATTTATATATTTATTTTTTTAACTAAAACCATAAAAAAAATTAAATTTATATCCTAGCCACAGCAACTAGGCAAGAAAAACAAAAACATACCAATTGGAAAGGAAGAAGTGAAACTGTCACTGTTTGCAGATGACATGATACTATATATAGAAAACCTTAACTACTCCATCAAAAACCACTGGAACTAATAAACTAGTAAAATTCAGTGAAGTAGCAAGGTAAAAAAAAAATCAATATACAAAAACCTGTTGTGTTCTTTTCGGGGCACATGGGTGGGCTAAGTCCGTTAAGCATCTGCCTTCGGCTCAGGTCATGATCCCCTTCCCCCACTCATGTTCTCTCTTGCTATCTCTCTCTCAAATAAATAAATAAAATCTTTAAAAAAAAGGTTGTGTTTCTCTACATAAACTATGAGAAACAGAAATTGGAAAACTGATCCCATTCACAACTACATCAAAAAAGTAATATACCTAGGAATAAATTTTTGAGTTTTTTAGACTTTTTTTTTTTAAACGATTTTATTTATGAGAGAGAGAGAGGGTGCATGCGTGGGAGCATGAGCATGGGGAAGGGCAGAGGAGGAAGGACAAGCAGACTCTGATGAGCACAGAGCCCATTGCAGGGCTGGATCTCATGACCCTGAGATCATGACCTGAGCCAAAACCAAGAGTCAGATGTTCAACTGACTGAGCTACCTAGGCACCCTTCTAAGAATAAATTTAACCAAGGAAGTGAAAGACCTGTACAATGAAAACTATAAAGACTTGATGAAAAAAAAAATAAAGACACAAATAAATGGAAAGATATTCTGTGTTTGTGGTTTGAAAGAATCAATATTAATAAAATAGCCATATTACAGATTTAATGCAATTCCTATCGAAATTCTAATAATTCTAATGATATTTTTCACAGAACTAGAACAAATAATTCTAAAATTTGTATGGAACCAAAGAAGACCCTGACCAGCAAAAACAATCCTGATAAAGAAGAACAAAGCCGAAGGTATACACTGCTTGATTTTAAACTATACTACAGGGCACCTGGGTGGCTTAGTCGTTGGGTGTCTGCCTTTGGCTCAGGTCATGATCCTAGGGTCCTGGGATTGAGCCCTGCATCAGGCTCCCTGCTAGGCAGGAAGCCTGCTTCTCCCTCTCCCACTCCTCCTGCTTGTGTTCCCTCTCTTGCTGTCAATCTCTCCATCAAATAAATAAATTAAAAAAAAAAATCTTGGAGCACCTGGATGGCTCAGATGGTTAAACGTCTGCCTTCGGCTCAGGTCATGATCCCAGGGTCCTGGGATCGAGTCCCGCATCGGGCTCCCTGCTCCTTGGGAGCCTGCTTCTCCCTCTGCCTTTCTCTCTCTCTATCTCTCATGAATAAATAAAATAAAATCTTTAAAAAAAAAAAAATCTTAAAAAAAAATAAACTATACTACAAAGCCGTAGTAATCAAAACTGTACAGTATTCGCATAAAAACGGACATATAAATCAATGGAACAGAATAAAGAGCCTGAGAATATATACATACATATGTGGTCAATTAATTTATGACAAAGCTAAGCATATACAATGGGAAAAGGATGGTCTTCTCAGTAAATGATGCTGGGAAAACTGGACAGCTATATTCAAAAGAATGAAACTGGACCATATACAAAAATTCACTCAAAATGGATTAAAGACTTGAATGTAAGACCTGAAACCATAAACTCCTAGAAGAAAACATGTGGTAAGCTCTTTGACATCAGTCTTAGCAATTTTTTTTTTTTGATCTGACTCCAAAGACAAGGGAAACAAAATAAACAAATGAGACTGCATCAAACTAAAAAGCTTCTACATAGCAAAGGAAACCAACAAAATCAAAAGACAACCTACTGAATAGAAGATATTTGCAAATCATAAATCCAATAACAGATTAATACCCAAAATAAGTAAACAATTCATACAACCCAGTAACAGGAAAGCAAACAATCCAATTAGAGGATCTGAATAGACATTTTTCCAAAGAAGACAGACACATAGCCAACAGGCACATGAAAAGATGCTCAACATCACTCATCACCAGGGAAATGCAAATCAAAACCACAATGAGATTATCACCTTACACCTGTCCGAATGGTTATTATTAAAAAAATATATATTAAGTGTTAGAATATGGAGAAAAGAGAAATCTTGTGCACTGTTTAGGAATGTGAACTGGTGCAGCCACTATGGAAAACAGTATGAAGGTCCCTCAAAAACTTAAAATTAGAACTAAGATTATCATCTAACAGTTCCATTACTGGGCATCTATACAAAGATAACAAAAAAACACTAATCCAAAAAGGTTTATGTTTATTGAAGCATTATTTCTAATAGCCAAGATATGGAAGCAACCTAAGTGTCCACTGATAGACGAATGGATAAAGAAGATGTGGTGTACACGTACATACACACACACACACAGAGAGGAATATTACTCAACCACAAAAAGGAACGAAATCTTGCCATTTGCAGCAACACGGATGGACCTAGAGGATATTATGCTAAGTGAAATGAGTAAGAGAAAGACAAATACCACAATTTTATTTATATGTGGAATGTAAAAAACAAAACCAAACCAAACAAGATGCAGAGATACAGAGAACAAATTGGTGTTTGCTAGCAGAGAGGGGAGTTGTGAGGGGGCAGGTGCAATGGGTGGAGGGGGATCAAGAAGTACAAATTCTGCGACGCCTGGGTGGCTCAGTCAGTTAAGCATCTGCCTTTGGCTCAGGTCATGATCCCAGGGTCCTGGGATGGAGTCCCAGATCGGGCTCCCTGCTCGGCAGGGAGTCTGCTTCTCCCTCTGCCTGCCGCTCCTCCTACTTGTGCGCTCTCTCTGACAAATAAAAACCTTAAAAAAAAAAAAAAAGTACAAGTTCCCAGTTATAAAATAGATAAGCCACGGGGATGTGATATGCAGCATGGGGAATACAGTCAATAATACAGTATTAATTTTGTATGGTGATGGATGGTAAGCAGAATGAATATGATGGTCATTTTGCAATGTATATAAGTGTTGATTCACTATGCTGTACACTTGATACTATTATAATATTTATGTCAATTATGCCTCAATTTTTTAAAAAAGCTTTATATTATTGGGTAGCCTATATTCATTCTGTATGTTGTAAGTTACACATGACACATGAAGTAAATGTAAAAACTTTCATATCATTACCAAATTTCCAAGTTTTAATTGATTCAACCTCTTCTACCTTGTAGAAATGACATGTTTCTGTGTTTATCTTATTCATATGAAGAATCTGGTAAGAGGCAAAAATGTTAAACGAAAGTAACAAAAAGAATTAACAATGACCCATATGAATAGTTATATAACATTATATTTAATATTACATACCATGTCCATGAATTGCAAGAATTGTTAAGAAGTCAGTTTTCCCTAAATTGAACTAAAGATTCAATGGAATCCGAGTCAAAATCCAAACCTGCTCTTTTATACAAGATGGAAAGCTGACTGTAAAATATGTGTGGAATTGAAAACAAACAGAACAGTCCAAGCAATTTTTAAAAAGACTAAAGTTGGAGGGACTACTCGACATCATATAGCTACAGCAATCAAGACAGTGCAATTATGAGCTAAATGATAAGATGTATATATGAAGAGGACCCAGAAGCAGATCCATATATAGGTGGTCAATTATTTTGGACAAAGGTGCCATGGCAATTCAAGAGGAAAGGAAAATTTTACCAAAAAATGATGCTAAATGAGAGATCCATAGATTAAAAAAAAAAACACATTAGCCCTTATCTAATATATAAAAATTAATTCTAAATGGATCATAGACCTAAAAGAAAATATAAGTAGACAAAGATTTCTTACATAGAACACATACACTCCACAAAAAATTATCCTTTATTAAAAAACAAAACTAACAGGAGCACCTGGGTGGCTTAGTTGGTTAAGCATCAGGGAAATGCAAGTTAAAACTATGAGAAGTATTATATACCCATCAGAGTAGCCAACATTAACAAGACTGCTAACAGCCAGTGTTGGTGAGGATGTGGGGGCACTGGAACTCTCATACCCAGCCAGTGGGAATGGGAAATGAGACAATTTTTTCAAAAGTTTGGCAGTTTCTTATAAAGTTAAACATATACAACTTCACCATTCTACTTCTACTTATTTACTCAAGAAAATGAAAAGCACATATGTAACAGCTGTACTCACTAAAGCCAAAACTAGAAACAACCCAAATTGATAAACAAAATGTGGTATTTTCATATCAGTGGAATACTACTCACAATGGAACACAACTCATCAGTAAAAAGAAACAATGGAGACATACAATAACATGAATGTATCTCAAAATCCTTAAGTGGAAGAAGCCAACTAAAAAGGCATATACACTATATGATTCTGTTCATAAAATTCCAGAAAATGAAAATAAATCTGTGTGACAGAGCAAATAAATGGTTGTCTGACTAAAGTTTGAGGGCTAATGGAAATATTCTCTATCCTGTGGTATAGTTTCACAGATGTAAACATCTGTGAAAACTCATCAAATTGTATACTTTAAATGGGTACAGTTTATTGTACACCAATTATACCAAAATTAGGTTAACTTAAAAATAAAGAGTGTAAAGAGAAGGAGAGCCAAGAAAAACCAAAAATGAAAAATGCAGCAGAAAGGAGAAGGACTAGGTCTGTATATTTGGCAGCACTATACTCACTGTTTGTCAGTGTGGTAAGTAGAACAGACAACAAAATGCAAACCACTGCATAACTTGTAATGCTACAGATTGCTAAAAATTACTAGATCAGATGGGAGTTTTACATGCGGCAGTTTGTATCTTCAGGAGCTCACAATATCCACTACATTCAATCCAGTATTACAAATTCAGGAAGCTTTTTGTTTGTAGGGGACCTGAAACCAGGATGGAGCAGACTGCTGTAGAGCTGGTGAGACACAATTTGAGGCAGAAGCACAAAGCCAACTAGCTGCATTCAGATCTCAACTCCACTACTTATTGTGACATTGGACAAGCTTACTCAGCTTGCCAGTGTCTGAGTTTTCTCATCTGTAAAATGAGAATAATAGTACCTCAGAAGGTTGTTGTGAAAATCAAATGATTAATACGGGTAACATTCCCTGAACAAGGCCTGGCACATAACAAGTACTTCGTTAAGTACTGGGTATTAATGTTTTTCTCTAGTTAAAAAAATATGCAATTATGGTAGAAACTTGGAAATGACAAAAGTATAAATGAGTCATTTAAAACCCATTCTTGAAAAATGGAATATGGCTATGAAAATAAGGGATTATGTTAATAGATATATAAAATTCTACTTTGTAAATGTAGCATAATTTAACCATTCTTCTAATACTGAGCCCATTATAAATAATGATTTTACAAACATCTATCTGTGTACGTATTTTTCCACATTTTATTTCTTCAAGAATTCACTGGAGTGGAATTACTAGATCAAAGGTTATAATAATTTTAAGGCAAAAGTGGAGCAAGTTGGGCACATGTGTTTTTTAAAGCTTTGCTTACTTGATTTTTTATTTCCTTGTTTTAATTTACATTTATTTACTAGTGATGTACATCTCAAGAGTTTTTAGCCATTTATATTTCCTTCACTGATTTTTCTATTAGGTTTCTTCATTTTTTTTCTATTAGGTTTCTTCAAATCAGAGTTAATTTTTATGTAAATTGGATGGTAGCAATCACTGCAAACCACACTGGAGTTTTTTTAAAAAATCTATTTTAGGGGTGCCTGGGTGGCTCAGTCGGTTAAACGTCTGCCTTCAGCTCAGGTCATGATCCTGGGGTCCTGGGATAAAGCCCTGCATATGGCTCCCCACTCAGCGGAAAGTCTGCTTCTCCCCCTCCCTCTGCTGCTCATGCTCTCTCTCTGTCTCTCTCTCGAATAAATAAAATCGTTTAAAAAAATCTATATTATGTACACCTCATCCCATGTTTAAAAAATAAGTCCAAAACTTTTACTAACTATACGTTGTTTTTTTCTGTTTCTGTATTGGTTATCTGAATTTTACTATTATGAACACTCTGGTACAGGTCAGGTTTTTGTTTTGTCCTCTATTTTACAGGCTATTTTCTGGGGAATGTTTTTCTGAAACACAAAAACAGAATTACCAGAAAAACTGTCCTGAACAGGGCGCCTGGGTGGCTCCGTTGGTTAAGCGACTGCCTTCGGCTCAGGTCATGATCCTGGAGTCCCAGATCCAGTCCCGCATCGGGCTCCCTGCTCGGCAGGGAGTCTGCTTCTCCCTCTGACCCTCCTCCCTCTCATGCTCTCTGTCTCTCATTCTCTTTCTCGCAAATAAATAAAATCTTAAAAAAAAAAAAAATTAAAAAAAAAAAAACTGTCCTGAACAGACATGTTACCAGAGAAGAGGTGACATAACTGCTCTTTAATAAGTTTGAGGTAAGTACATTTTAAGTACTAAGCAGCAGAAATCATGTTAAAAATAAATGCTTGCGGGCGCCTGGGTGGCTCAGTCGGTTAAGCGACTGCCTTCGGCTCAGGTCATGATCCTGGAGTCCCGGGATCGAGTCCCACATCGGGCTCCCTGCTCGGCAGGGAGTCTGCTTTTCCCTCTGACCCTCCCCCCTCTCATGTGCTCTCTCTCATTCTCTCTCTAATAAATAAATAAAATCTTTAAAAAAAATAATAATAAATAAATAAATAAATAAATGCTTGCTCCTTAAATTGTCGCTTTCTTTAAAAAAAAAAAAAAGCTTTCAGGCATGTCTGATTTATTTTTTAAAAAGATTTATTTATTTGAGAGAGAGAAAAAGTTAACACGAGCAGGGGTGGGGAGGGGCAGAGGGAGACAGGGAGAGAAGAATCCCAAGCAGACTCCGAGATGAATGCAGAACCCCATGCAGGGCTTGATCCCAGGACCGTGAGATCATACCTGAGCTGAAATCAAGAGTAGGCCACTTGACCAACTGAGCCACCTAGGCATTCCTTGATTTGTTTTTAAAGTTCAAAATAGTGTAGCATATTCTTTAGCTAAAGTTACCTAATTAAAAATCAAAGATTCTCTTCATTCTTGTATATTCCAGGTAAAAAGAAGTTAACTTATCCTCAAATGTAATTTTTGAGGTTTTATGCATTACCATTAATTGCTTTATGTAGATTCACAACTCAGAATATACTTCAAGTATATTTTTGAGTCATATTTAACAGAACTGAATCATTATTTCCTATTATTTACTTTTAAAATAAACAAAATTTAACATTCTGAGACCTAATCACTTATGAGTTACACTTTTTTTTTTTTTTAAAGATTTTATTTATTTGAGAGAATGAGATAGAGAGAGAGCATGAGGGGGGAGGGTCAGAGGGAGAAGCAGACTCCCTGCTGAGCAGGGAGCCCGATGCGGGACTCGATCCTGGGACTCCAGGATCATGACCTGAGCCGAAGGCAGTCGCTTAACCAACTGAGCCACCCAGGCGCCCATGAGTTACACTTTCAATTCTCAGTATACCCTCGGCTTTAAATGCCATCCTGCCATGTTGGGAGATAAGAAAGGCATTACAGGGGCGCCTGGGTGGCTCAGTTGGTTAAGCGACTGCCTTCGGCTCGGGTCGTGATCCTGGAGTCCCGGGATCGAGTCCCGCATCGGGCTCCCTGCTTGGCAGGGAGCCTGCTTCTCCCTCTGACCCTCCCCCCTCTCGTGTGCTCTCTGTCTCTCTCATTCTGTCTCAAATAAATAAATAAAATCTTAAAAAAAAAAAAAAAAAAAGCATTACATAATCCCAAGCTTCGGAATAATCACTACTTCAGTATCAAGTGTCAGGTAGGGTGGTGGTAGTAATCTATCTCTCCACCCACCATTCATCCCCTCAAAGTAAATCATGCACTGGTATAGGGTGAAAAATCTAAAAAAGTATAAAAGGACATACCAGTGAGTCACGCCTAAGATACAGGACATGTTTCTACCACAGTTCACCATAGTCAGGTTTAGTGGGAGAGGGGAAAGCACACATGTTTAATTTGCATTCCAAATGTTTCTGCCATGTGCCTTCTGCTTGAGAATCACTATTTCACATGATTCATCCTTTGAGATTTTTGTTCCTAGGTCATTTCCTGTCCAGCTCACAAACCAGCTATTAATGTTATTAGAAGAATGAATACTGTTAAGTGTAAACTAGCTTTTGGGTCAGTCATAAGCATATAAAAAAGTTCTTAACCGTATGTGTCCATGAGAATTGCTTGTGAAGTTAAAAATACTACTAAAAATATATGCTTCAGTCATACCCTCATATACTCTTAGTGACTCAGGGCTTCCAGCAGCTTGTTTTATAAAAGCTCTAGTGATGGCCGTTAACTAGACTTACAGTGGTGATCATTTCATAATGTATACAAATATTAAATCATTTTACATACCTGAAACGAATATAATGTTATATGTCAATTATATCTCAAAAAAAAAAAAAAGCTCCACAGGTAATTTTGATTCCAACTTCTTGACAACTAGTAGCTTAAGTAAAGGGGAAGGGCAGCGGGGGGTAGAGAATAACATTTCTCAAATGATAGGCAGTTCTACATTGGAACAGGGTAGCCACTGACTATACATGAAGTCTACAAATAAGTTTTCATTTCATTATAACAAAAAAGTAAACCTCCACCTCCACATAATATACTAATTATTTCATTCATACAGGAATTTAGGACTGATTTACTTACCGTGCCTTGTATCAAGAAAGAATTAAACTGGTGAATTTAGAAATCTGAATCACATGTAAAAGTGGGCCTGGTGAAGAGCATAAGTAATTAAACAAAGTTTATACTTAACTAAAATACACCTGGAGGACTATTTTAAAATGGGTATACCAAATTACAGTGCTGTCTTTCATTCATGCTAAATTTTATACTTCAATAATAAATATAAACTAGCATTTATGAGTCACTCTACAAAGTAATGATCTAGGACCTCTTTATAACACAAAGATATAATATATAGCAATGAAATGTAATGTTCAAAATCAGTATGTTAACAAGTAGAAGACAAATCTGGTGGAAGATGGACTACATAAATGCTATATGTATGTACCAGAAACTATGCAGTGAGGAAGTGGGGAACTGAGGAGCACAGAAGGGTTTTCAGGTAAGATAATCAGATTTTAGTTTAAAATAAATTTTGGGGGCGCCTGGGGGGCTCAGTCGGTAAGCATCTGCCTTCGGCTCAGATCATCATCCCGGGCTCCTGGAATGGAGTCCTGCACTGGGCTCCCTGCTCAGCGGGAAGCCTGGTTCTCCCTCTCCCTCTGCCCCTGCTTGTGTTCCCTCTCTCACTATCTCTCTCTCCCTGTCAAATAAATAAATAAAATCTTTTAAAATTAATTAATTTTGTTTTGAGAATTTGTTAAACATGTATACCGAGCTTGTGCATTTATTTTCAATCCTCTCCAAAATCATACTAAAGAAATAAGTAAAACATGTACTTTTAAGGACAAAAAGAATGGAAGAAAACATCACATTAAAAAAAGTCAGAAAAATTTTGGGAGACAGAAGCCAGATTGGAAGAGTAACAGATGACTAAAAAAAGGAAAAAAAATAAAATCAAGGTGTTTGCAAAAGGAAATACCAATGGGAAACACACTGACTCATAGTGCCAAACATCAAGCATGACCAAGCACTGAAAATAGACAAAAAAAAAAAAATCCTGTCCCATACTGAATTAAACCTACCCCTTAAATACATGCCCTTTAGGATCCCTTAGAGGAGAATCTAAACAGCCCTAGGGAACAATCTTTTAGATACAGACATTTGATAAAGCTTGCTCACTGTCTAAATACCCCAACGAGGGGGTAACAAGCTAAACCTCATTCAATGTAGGACTTCCTATTGGTATTTGTAATGCACTATTATTAAATATATGAATGGACAATGATTGACAGACATGTGAGAAAGGACTCTGTGGTAGGTCTACAGTTCTGGAGCTAACTCCTTAAAATTTCTGTCCCTGATTATATATTTATACACTAATCTGGGGACTGTTGTGAAGAGGCTTTGCAAATGGAATTAAGGCTACTAATCATCTGATTTAAGAAAGATTACCCTGGATTCTCTTCATGGGTCCAATGTAATCATATCAGGCCTGCCAAATAGAAGAGGAAGGCAGGAGAGGTAAGCACAGGAAAGATGAGACTGAAGGAGAGGTCAAACAGATGTGAAGAGTAGGAAGGACTGGCGTTGATACTGCTGTTTTTGAAGACAGAGGAAAGAAGCACATGTCAAGGAATTTGGGAGACCTCTAGAAGCTGAGAATGACCTTTGGTAGACAATCTAGGAGAAACCCTGGTCCTATAGCCACATGGAACCAAATTCTACCATGAATTCTTTCTCATAGCCTTCAGGAGGAACACAGCCTTGCTGACACCTTACTTTCAGCTTTGTAAGACTAACTAGAACACCCATCTGAGCCACATTGTGACCAGACTTTTAAACTACATAAACAGTGAGATAACAAATATGTGTTGTTTTAAGCTGCTAAATTTATGGTAAAATTTGCTACAGCAGCAATGGAATGCATGCACAGAGTTTCTAACATGAAAAACACCAAATGAAAAGGAAAAGAAAAACAACTCAGGGAACCAGAGATACTGCAGGAAGCAGACGAACAAAACCAAACCTTCTTAAATACAATTCTCAGAAAGATGATGACATCTGTGACAGATGACTAGCATGTTATAAAGAATAACTAGAGATTAACAAAGAGATCTTTGGAGATACAGTGAAAACAGTTCTAAGGAGTGCCTGGCTCAGCTGGCAGAGCATGTGACTCTTGATCTCAGGGTTTTAAGTTCGAGCCCCACACTGGGTGTGAAGATTACTTAGAAAAATTTAAAAAGAAATTCTTTAAAAAAAAAAAAAAGTTTTAAGAGGGAGATATATAGTATTATTTAGGCTTACATCAAGGAACAAAAAAGGTCAAGTGAACAATCTAATCTTACATATAAAGGAACTAGAAAAAGAACAAAGCCCAAGGTAAGTAGAAGAAAGTAAGATTAGAGCAGAAATAAATGACATAGAGACTAAAAAAAAGAACAAAAATCAATGAAATGAAGAGGTGGTTCTATGAAAAGATAAACAAAATTGATAATCCCTTAGACTCATCAAGAAAAAAAGAGAAAGGACCCAAATAAATAAAATCAGAAATGAAAGAGAAGTAAAAACTGACCCCACAGAAATACAAAGGATTATTAAGAAAATACTATTATGAAAAATTATATGCCAACAAATTGAACAGCCTAGGAAAAAACAGATAAATTTCCAGAAAAATACTATCTTCTAAAACTGAATCAAAGGGGCGCCTGGGTGGCTCAGTCGTTAAGTGTCTGCCTTCGGCTCAGGTCATGATCCCAGGGTCCTGGGATCGAGCCCCGCATCGGGCTCCCTGCTCAGTGGGAGGCCTGCTTCTTCCTCTCCCTCTCTCCCTGCTTGTGTTCCCTCTCTCTCTCTGTCAAAATAAATAAATAAAATCTTTTAAAAAAATAAATAAATAAAAATAAAACTGAATCATGAAGAAATAGAAAATCCAAACAGACTACTCATA